ACCCATATTTCTACCATTTTTCTACAAAGTGTAGGTTCCGACAAGTGAGTTGATTTCTTCTAGTTGAAGCTTGGATTGAGTTCTTCCAAAACTTATGGTATGTTCTCATGGATTTGAGGACAAGTGTTTCATTGATATTTCATGTCTTTCATTGTACTAGTTACTTTTAGACTTTCTATTGTAAAGGGTCGTGACCTTACTTTTGATTCATGATGTTTTTAGATGGTCATGTGAGACTAGTAGACTTCCGTTGTTTTAAATGATATTTTCGATTGTATGGATTTGAAGAAAAGTTTTAAATTCCGCACTATTTCATATGTCTTATATTTATGAATGTTATGAGGCTCTTCGGAGTCTTCTACGCCATGTCACGTCCGGGGTGTAGTCTCAGATCGTGACAAATAAACACGTTGATTTCAGTTCTCTTTAAGTAACCAAGTGTAATTGTAACCATTTATCTTACTTATAACATACTCCCTCTGTCTAACAATAGTATCCTTTGACTTTATTAAATTTAATGTTTTAAAAATGTATTAGATGATAAATAGTATTTAATTGCAAGTGTAAAATAGACATAAAATATAAGTTATCTTTAGATTTTTTAATTCTACTACTGAACCCGGAAATTGCGTAGATTGCTTTGCTTGGGATTTCCTAGGTAACCAAACCAATCCTTGTCATTTCACACGAAAAATGGTATGTTTTGAGCATTTGAAGTGGACGAACAATCAGCGTACATAATCGGGTATCATGCCATCGTGTCTTTCTTTTTCTAGCTCTTCGCGGATTCTTTGTATTCTCTTCTGAACAACGAATTTCCTCTTTTTATTAAGAAATTCTAAATAATAAGTCCCTCGACGAGGAAAGAATAGGCTTTTGATCGAGATGGGTAGAAGAAACACTGCAATGTATGCAGACATTACAACTAACTCGTGGAGGTAGAGAAACTATTTTTGAAAGACCCCGGCTCAAGTGCAACAAATCCAAATACAAAGGAGAAGGAAACATTGCATCAGAAAGTCAAATCAATAAAGGCAAGACCACACTAATTGAACTAGGCCGTTTAGTTGGAAACAAGTTATCTCGGGATAATTAAACCTGAGATAAGTTATTTCATCAATTATATAGGATAACTTATATCATCAATATGTTAAGAATGGTGAAATAAATAATCCAGGATAATCTAATACCTTCAACCAAATGTGGATAAAATAATATCATGTGCACCTTACTTATTTCAGCTCAAGAGCGGCTCAACCTAAAAATAAGGGTCTCCAAAACAATTAAAAAAAAACCCAAATTCAGTTACGAAAACATACCAAAGATGCACACAAAAGAAACAAATTCCAATAAGAGGCAAGATTAAACGAAGAACCAAAAGCAGATGAAGGAGATACATACATAAAAGAGACGATCAAATTTGATGAAACCCTAAGTATAAAACAATTAGGTTACTTCTTCCTCCATTCCTTTTTAGTTGCTATGTATACTATAAATACTTGACAACATTAATTATTATTATTTTTAATAATTTGCTGCTAATCTCTTACTAATTATTATGCACATATTTTGAAATTTTATTATTGATGTTATTATAATTAAAAATCATAAACAATTAAATTTACAGTTACTTTTTATTTCTTAATTTCTTTAATTCACTTCAATTTGAATCAACCATGTTTTAATATTGACTTTGTAAGATTGTCTTCAATTATTTTAGATGTTTTATTAAACATTTCAAGCTCAAAATAATTAGATTATCAAATATTGTCTTAACTTTGAATGTCTTCTAAAGGTAACAATCATTATAATATTGATTTTAATTTAAAAGTATTATGGAATATTATAAGTAAAAAAAAATTATACTCTAATTGACATATTCAATGAAGTGAGGTATTAATTTTATTTTTAAACACTTTTAGAATAATCTTGATAGTTTATATAATAATTGATGCCATTGAAAAAGTTTTCAAAAGTATAATCAATAAAAGAGGTTTAAACATTTGTGTTGTTATGTAACGTACAGTAATTTATATATTCTTATTATTTTCTTACAAAATATTATAAGAAATATTATACTGTCAACTGAAAAAGAAAAATTAATTATTAAATTATAATTAATTACAATATTTTTTAGAATTTATGAGAATAATATATATATATATATATATATATATATATAATGAAACTCACCCAACCAAAACGTGGGTAGCAAGTTGAAAGAATAGCAGATAATTTGCTCCTGGTTTCCTACTTTGGCACTGGTTTCGAGTGGACTCACTCAATGACTATGCAAAACATCCATCGCTTGAAAATACAATTTGTTGGGCCCGTGTTGACACGGGCCAAACCCATCTAGTTTTATATCTATGGGCTATATGGCGTTTGAATTGTATTTATAGGCCAGATTAACCGTGTAAATTTTACGCGATATTTTTACACCATAGATAGTTTTTTTTTTTTAAAACATAGATAACTACTTAATAACTTTACTTACCAATATAAATAAAATTTAGATAAATTAAATTAAATTGTCGAATATTTAGAGTTGATTAGAGAAAATTAGTATTAGATTGGTGCTAAATTCTAATAAATTATTATTAAAAAATTTGCAAGTTTTAATAAATAAATTTCAAATAAAAAGGAGGACGAGAGACGATTTTGAGATATGACTGTTTGAATTTGGTTTTATTTATAGGCTAGATTATGCTGTTAAATTTTACGCAACTATCATATTTTCAGCCGATGCGTGTAAATTTTGCGCATATATATATAGCTAATAACTTTACTTACCAATATATATAAAATTTAGAGAAATCAAATAAATTACTATCTAATATTTAGAATTGATTGGAGAAAATTTGTATTAGATTGGTTCTAAAAAATAATATTTTTTTAAAAAAAATGCAAGTTCTATACACTAGTAAGTAAATTACAAGTAGGTAAATTTCAAATAATTAAAGTTGTTAAAAGGTCACATACTTTTATTCATTTATTTTTTTGCTAAAAAATATCTCTCTAGTTATATTTGTTGCCTTTTTATATATTTGACTAATGGTTAACTAAGAGATGATTTAAAAGTTCATGTGGCATTCTATTACTTGTTTAATTTTAAACTTTTACCTAAATTAAATGAATTCATTCACTTGATTTTTTCACTTATATGTTTCAAGCTCTTACGAAACTTACTTTTAATTGTATTCTTCAAAATCATTTTTCATGAAAAAACATACCTTTAGAGGTTAATTCATGTAAACAAAAAAATCGACTTTCAAAATTTAATTTTATCAAAACATTAAATAATGTATTTATATGATACAATAACCTCCAAAGAAACTGAAAAATGCAACCAATTTTTTTTTTTATTATTATTATTTGACAGAACCGGCCTTCAAAGGTTGATTTTAATTTTTTTTATAATTTAATTTATTAGTCAGAGTTTAACTTGAATCAATAACAAAATGCCACATGGATTAACTATTATTTTTTTAGAAAAAATAGTATTGACTGTTAGTCAAAGCGCCTAAATGAGCCAAAAATATAACTAGAAGACTATTTTAAGCAAAATAAATAAACGGATAGTATACAACTATAACCTTTTGTAACAGTCCATGAACATTTTTTACCATTTTCTGTATTTTTTTTATCATAAATGCAACAAATAAAAAATACATGTAGCAGGTATAATTTTAATACATAAATAAGTGGTGTAACAATATTTGTTATGGTTCCTACTAAAAATCACCCTTTTCATTAGTTGGTATTTCTTTTTTTAGGATTATTTTGAGTTACAAAATATATTTAGGTGAGAAAGAAAATGCATTCTTTCTTTGATTTCCACTTTCATAATCAAGAACCTGGGGCAGATCTATATGTATGTGTGGGGGTGCCACGGCACCCAATGATCTCGATTAAAGCTTCAAGCTTCATGTATATATGTTTAAGAAATCGTTATAAATAAAATTTGCCACTCATTGAACGAATTGGTGATTGGTGTCGTTGGCAAAAGACACAAATCCCCGCAACCACAATGTGGGTTTGATTCTCACTCTCAACATTATATTTTGGATTCTTGTATGAACTGAAGGCTTTTCTAAGCTCTTTTCTTTTCTTTTTTTCCTGTTTTTTCTTGTCTTTTTTTTTTCCGATTGGTTCTTATTTATTTGCTACTATTCTTTATTACGTAATTCAAATTGACTCCTTTTTTCTGTGATTAGTTCTTAATTTTTTTTTATTTTCTCTATCACTAATTATTGATCTCTTGATATGAATATTATGTGTTTATTCTTTATTAATTAATGAGTATTGTATTATGAAAGTCACATAAATATTACTACGAATATATTTAAATTGTTTTTTAAAAAAACATAAGTTTTAAAAAATGATGAATATTATTATGTTAGAGTTCTTTTAATTTTAAGGTTATTCCGATCTTCACGTTCTTGATAAGTAAGATGGTTGGGTTGAAACCAATTTTAGTTTTTTCTCTACTATATATATGCAACAACACATAAAGACAATGAAATATGAATATATTAAGTTAACACTATTAGATGGTTTATACAAATTCGAATTTTTAATGTGGAAAATCTTTTTTTCCCTCAAAGTTTTAGAGAATGCCTCTAAATCCAAAAAGAAAAAGTTGAATTGTTTAGTTATCTCTAATCTCAGAATAACTAAAAGAAAACATTACTAACATGCACGTTTAATCAATTTGTTTTATAAAAATAAAAAAAGATAAATAATCCGAATGGTAACCCAATATTAAAGGAACAGACCCGTTTATCTTACTTGGGCGATGTGACACCCACGATCTCTAAATCCTAGATCCGCCTCTGTCAAGAACTGAATACATAGACTTATGAATCATCTCTCTGTGCGGAACCAACTACAACGATCCATAGGAAGGATGTTATGAACCCAAAAAGCATGAAATTGAGTCCCAAAAAAGCACTCGTAATGTTATAAATTGGTTAGTGTACTGTATATCTATGACAAATATTATTCTGGAGCTAAAGGAACCTTGAGTCATATAAAAGCACTGAATTGCACTTCTTTGAGGCAAGGGGGGCTCTAGATCAACCACATTACCCTTATATTAACCAAGAAGAGAGTCATCGCAGTTCCAAATGAAGAACTTTGTCAAAACAAAAGGCTACAATGATTGGTCCAGACACATCTCCAATAGCACATCCTGAAAATTGTAATTCAAGTAAAGATGATGTTCGTTGTAGGTACTGAAAAGCATATTGTGAGCTTACCAATCCACTGGCCAGTTGTAGGGCGAACTATCATTGCTCCTATTCCTGCCCCTATAGAAGCGAAAACAAGAGATGCACTACATCTGACAGTAGTAATGAAAATCTTCCTTCTTAGAAACTGAATTTTTTCCGATCTATCAAGTGTGTCACCATCTTGTTTAGATTTGAAGATTCGCCAGATATCAATGCCAACTTGCACAAACCATGATGCCAAAACTCCCAGAAAATGACCTGATTAGATAGTGGGAGGTGAAGAATCAGGAATTGAGGCTAGTCTAGGTGAACCACAAGAGAAGAAGATTAATGGACAGATAATGTTAAACCTCTGCATGTTGTTTTTGTAACACTGCAAAAGTAGATCACACTAGACATTCCCCTTTGAGCCTTGCGTGCAGCTGACTTGGGAACATCTGCAGAAATTGATAAACGCTAGGTTTCTTCAATGTCAATCAACAAGGACTATAGATTTAAGCGTTGAGACAAACAAAAAATAACCTTTTAGAAGCTTCCATGCCATGCGTTGTGAGACATAGTGGACCGCTAATCTTTCCAGGACGCGTCTCGTAGTTACAACAGCAGTCTGATCAGAAGATACATAATGTTAATTGCACACAAGATCTTTCAGTATACGATTTCAGAGCTGGTATAACATGCAAGTGCATGATTGAAGCATATATTGGAAGCATATATTCCGAAAGCAACAGAAATAAACTGTCATCTCATTTTTAGTTACTACTCCTTTTGTTCACTTTTACTTGTCAACTGTTTACATTTACACTTTCAACCACTATGCATTATTGCTACACTGTTTATCTAGAACCTGTGATCACCAAATGAAGACAAGTTACAATAGAGGTTGAGGTGAATATCTAGGCTCAAATGAAATAGATCAAGACTAGACAATTCAATTGATGCTTTAAGAGTCAAACTTGCTTAAGCATTATAAATTTGAAATTTCTATCAAATTACTGCTCAGTCCTTCTAACAAGCAATCTTCTATATTTAAGGTAAGATACAAGTAGAACAAGATCGCACGGTCTTTTTGGCATGTTAGTGTCTCTAAGCTCAATAAAATTAATTGGTACTGTAAACTATTTAAGCAGAAGAAGATGAGAAATATGAAAGACTAGTCTAACATCTTCAGTCCTCTGTCTGTAGTAGAACCAAAAAAAGTTGAAAATGTATATTCAGCCGGAGACACACTAAACCAAAGTAATTTCTTTGAATTCTTTTGGAGAAGTAACGAAAACAATATTTGAAGATTATTTCAAATATATGTTTGTCTTACAATCTGATCCATTATTCCAACTTCAAACTTGAAACCGAAAATTGAAGTTTGAAAAACAGATTTGAAGAGTATTTCAAGTGAAAGAATGGTTTCACTCACAAAACTTCAACTTTTCATGTCCAAACACAACTTCAACTTTTACATACTTTCGGTTTCAATTTCAAAATACTCTTCTTTTTTCAAACTTCAACCAGATCATGTCGAAACATCTACTAGAAGATGCTGTGATATTTACAAAGAGCTTTCTTTCATTAAAAAAAATTGGTATCTCAGGGAATGTATGTAGGGTGAGACAAAAGTAGCACCAAAAGTTTGTGGCATTTTATACCGGACTTGACACAGTACTGCAACAAAACAAGCACCTCCAATTTTAGATGAAAACAAATTTCCATCTGCCAGAGAAACGGGGATCAGAAATCCACAATAATTACAAGAACTCATCCTGCCATCTTTGGGAAGCCTTTCTTCTTGACCAATCAAGAAAAACAGCTTAAATTGAACAAGTTAGCCATTATGTACTGTAAATTACACACTACAACAAGTTCTAGGACCAACGCATGGAAATACAAATACCAAATCAAACAAAAGTGATTACTGGATGAAAGAAGAAGCATCACTAGAGATGTATCTTTTTACAATTTTCCAACAAAAGATATTGAAGAAATCAAGAAAACATTAAGCAGTGAAAAACATGAAGTTGTAAGTGACAAGCGCATTGCATTGAGAAGGAGGGGCTTGCAAATGTTACCTCACGACCAATCTGTTTCACTGATTTCTTGAAAGGAGTCACCAGATCGACACGGCGATCTTCATTAGTATCCTGTAGGAAATCTTCATCATCCTCATCCTCCATGTTAGCACGAGGCTCCAGAAGAGGTAAATAAGATGATAGGAGAGCTCTCAAGGAAGTCAGTGCAAGATTCCTCCACATAAATGCTGAGAATAAAGATTTTAACTCAAGGTTGTATTGTTTGGTACTGTGCTTCAATGAATCATGTTGAAAGTTAATTATCGATTCACTTTTCATGCTAGATATATAATCTTCAGAAAATCCCGTGCCAGCATCGCAAAGTGCAACTTGTGCTGCACCATTACTGTCAAAACAACACATTGTCAAGGTTTGCTGATAGTCTAAATGAATAAGAGTCTAATTTATTTCTTATGACAGAACATGGGAATAAGCATAACGAAAGAATGTACTACGCTTGTGCCTCTGTTCCGGTATGGTACAACTAAACTGATACAAAGTAGTATGCAATGAATCCTATATTTCCTTCAGATCGACTCTAAATTAAACTTCTGTATGGGAACAGAAGATGTCGTTTTTATAATAGTTAAAGATAAAAGGGCGTTTTTACAACAGTTAAAGATAAGAGGCTGATATTACAAAGAAGAGCTGAATCAAGCGAATGAGGAATGTAATTGGCTGATAATCATCTGCACCATTTAGTCAAGCATCCATTTCTTTTCTTGGGATGGAACCTGATAGAATTTGACCGTATTAGTCACAAAGGAGATGGTATAATACTTGATAAAAGGGAGTACCATTTCCTCACTCCCAATTACAAACACTTGGGGTGACACCATTTGCTCTAACCCTGGTGGGCAGGATTACCTTGGCTTCCCAGTGGTACAAGAAGGTGCAAGCAAGCTTAGCCCAAAGACCACTTGATTTTTTTTTTAAGAAGTTCCACCATCTTAGAATAGAAAAATGAAGAAAATCTAGTGGGCTGGCAAGGTCAGATGACCAATGCACGAAACAACCAACAAATAAGAAAGGTTGTTATGAGTTATGGGGGGACTACTCAGTGAACAATACTCTGAATAGTAACTCATCCATGTAGAATTTGAGGATAGAGATAATATAAACTATCGCTCCGAGGAGGATAATAGATTAAAGGTGTGGAAGAAATTATGTGGCCGTTGCAGTCATACATACACACAAAATCAATGTCGACAATAAAAAGCCCAACCTTTCAGCTAACTTAGAAAAATGAGACAAAACAAGGGAAACATCTAGAAAATTCAAAAGAGAAGCATCCCTAGGTAAAAGGAAGGAAATTAGCTCAACAGCTAAAGAGACTGGCAGTGAAACATCAATAATGAGAATATGGGGAGATACACCTCCACAATAGTGAGTCCTAGTAGTCTCTGCAAGCATTTAACTTATTTTATATGGTTGTCGCCATAGCACGAGGGATTTTCTAAGGGTTACTTGTGCATTGCAAATTATTATATATGGAATGCCTTTTGCTACATTATGAATGGGTGACAACCTCAGGCCTCAGGTTCTTGCTTACCAATCAAAAAAATTGTGAATCCAGTAAAAAACACATACCATGAACTTCTCAATTAATTAGCTCTGCGAACACAGTAAATTTTCCACCCAATAAAGGCTGATTTACCTTTCTCTGAATGCTCCTACTATTGGCAAAAAATACAAGCAAGATAAATGCGCAAATGATACATGTTCACATTATAAGTAAAAGTTAAGGGAATAAAAGAGGCTGAACTATCAGCAGCTTTGTAAAACACAAGCGCCAGCACTAATTGAACTCTAAATAGAGACAGACTACTATGATATGCAATCACAAATGACATCATAATTGATATTACTCTTTAACCAAAATCTATACAATTGAGAAAAAAGAGCATACAATCAACAAAATCCAGACTCCACGTTATCCAATCTGACTTCGAGATATAGAATTTAATGTCATATATGCAAAAGGATTGCCCCAAGGCTTTGGTATAAGCGCACAGCGCATCATGTATGGGTAGGTGCATGTCACGGATTCAAATCCTGTAGTAGACAAAAGCCTAGTACTTAGGTAGAGAAGGATAGAGGGGGCGAGCACAATATCCACCCCGATTTCGAACCCTGCACCACTAGCCTTTGCCCCTTGGGGTTTTTCTTTGGTTATCAGAAACGAAGGCATACACAAAAAAATTGGTCTTGTCACATTCGATCACTATTCAAAAGCCACTAACAAGGCAAACCAGAAAGAGTTCTGCAAAACAAGGTTGCCTCCACAAATTGAACTGAATAGAGCCAAATAATCAAGGAATACACTCACAAATGACATCAAAACTAACATAATTTCTTTAACCATCTAGTTTTCGTCCAGCGGAAAAATGAGTGGACTTACTAACAAATTCCACATTGCAAATATGACTTCAAAATATTACAAACTTCAACACATCAAACACGAAACAATTTTGGTTTTAGTTCATTAGATCACTCCCTCCCCCAAAACAACTATAAGAATCTGAACACTACCAAATCCAATATAATGTCACTCCTACAAAGCCCCCATAATGTACATACAGTGACAGCATGAACTGCATAACATGGACACAAAATAAACATAGCATATTCTAAACATACCCAAAAAAAGCCCTAGAAGCAAAAGGGTAACTGGCAGCAACAGAAGCTGCAGCTGCTGAGGCAGCGAGTTTGGCTGAGCAGACGCCATGAGAATGAAAGGCTTGACCAGTAAAGTTTGGATTTTTCCTCAGTAAATCCAATACAATAGCTATTCCCGCCATTGAAGGGGTTATCCAGAATATTTTGTTATTTATTACTCCTATACGATTCAAGATTCAACACCATAACCAAGTTTCTTGATTCGAAAAACGATTTAGCAGGAACAAGTGTTTGTCTGATTCTTGTTGAATTATCAATAAAATCCAATTACTATACTAGTACTCCCTCCGTCCCTATTTACTTGTCCATATTTCCTTTTTTAGTTGTCCCTATTTAGTTGTCCATTTTGACAAATCAAGAAAGGACAACAAATTTTTTCCTATTATACCCTTATTTACACTTCTTGAAAATTGTAAAAGTGTATGTTGTTTCCCTCCAATTTATTTCACTTTAATTCAAATAAGTGGTTGTAATTTTGAATTGAAAAGTTGTCATAAGAATAAAATTGTAACTTCACTGTGCTAATCATTGTTGCCTTAATCTGTGTGTCATTTCTAAAGTGGACAACTAAAAAGGGACGGAGGGAGTATAAAATTACAAAAATGTGAATAATATATAATTTAAAATACTTATTTATTCTTTAAATATAATAAAAAATTATCCTTTGGAATTTTAATCTATATATTGCTAATAGCCTAATACCCACGTTTTAATTCTACATTCTGAGCCCACTAAAATAATATTATATGTCCGCATGATTTATGCATTTATTATTATGTATGTAAACCAAAAATATCAATCACATATTATATTATTCAATACTTATTTTATTAGAAGATTTTAAGTCAAGACGTGTTTTATTAGTTGTGAAATTTGTAAGTTGATTAATTCTCCCTAAGAATCACACTAAATAGTAAGAACAACAAATGTGCATTCGTTTTTAACTGATTTTTCTCTGCTCTCGAGCCATTTTAAACTTAACATAAATGACACGATAAATTACTTAATATATTTTTCAGATATTGATAGAATCCTTTGAGCTTTAAGAGACTTATGGATTGCAAATTATTATTTTTTGTACCATGTTTTCTTATTTGTCTAACATGCAAGTCAAACTCCTAACTTTACTGAAAGAACTACAATTTACGTAATAACCAATTTTTAGCAACTATGAGTGATATCCATATTTTTTGGAGCTAACATTATAAATAATTTTAGGTACTTGATGGCGTTAGTGAGTGATCAACAAGTGCAATATATATATTGGGAGGCTAACATTGTTACTGATATACTAGTCAAGTAGGAAACTAGAGTAACTATCTCAATCAGCTTCTCGAAGCATCCATTACCTTCTGCCCAACAACTAGGACCTTCTCGATAATCAACTTGTTTATTTTTTTCAACCAAAATGATGTAGATTTCGTTGTTTTCAATACTAGTTCTCATATTATATTCACCCTTTATAACATCTCATTGTAAAGGATGCTAAAATGATTAAGATGTTTTTAATAATTACTCCCTCCGTCCCTTTTTAGTTGTCCACTTTAGAAATGACACACAGATTAAGGCAACAATGATTAGCACAGTGAAGTTACAATTTTATCCTTATGACAACTTTTCAATTCAAAATTACAACCACTTATTTGAATTAAAGTGAAATAAATTGGAGGGAAACAACATACACTTTTACAATTTTCAAGAAGTGTAAATAAGGGTATAATAGGAAAAAATTTGTTGTCCTTTCTTGATTTGTCAAAATGGACAACTAAATAGGGACAACTAAAAAAGGAAATATGGACAAGTAAATAGGGACGGAGGGAGTAGCATTGAACTGTTTATTTGAGTTGCAACTCCTCTTGAATGATAAACTTTTAATATATATAAAATTTCAAAATTTATTATCCTCGTTTGTTATCTTCATTTTATACACTAAGTAGACGTTTGAACATAAATTTAATTGAAACTTGAAATAAAATAATTTTTAAAATAAAAAATTAAAATTAAAAAATAATGTTTGAATATACATGTCACTTGATTTTTAATTAATTTTTTCTAATTAAAAAATAAATAAATTATCTTGATACAATTTTCAAACTTGAAAACCTCATTTTCAAACTAACCAAAAAACATTCAAATGTATACTCAAAGAATGTTCTGAAAAAAAATAATCTATACCCCTACAGACCCTTAAGAGAAATATGAAATATTTATCACAAATAATTCATTTAAAAGAATATTCAAAGTAAATAAATGGAGGGGATTGTATTTAAATTTAAAATTTAATAAAGGAGAAAATAGTCAAACAACAAAGAGTAGGGTTTTAAAGGGTTTTAGACCATATTTTTCATTCTTCGCCTTCTCCTCAAGTTCCCAAACCAACCATTACCATTCCGAGCTTGTAATTTCTGCTAATTTCCCATGGCGATGGAGGAATCGAACACCGTATATATGGAAGTAGAAGGTGATAACTCAGACGACGATAAGGACCAAAACTGGGACGATTGGGAAAACGGAGACGAAGAAGATGAAGAGGAGGCTATGAGCTCAAAATTACTCTGTTTGTTCTGTGAATCTACTTACGATTCCAGTAATGCGCTCTTTGAGCACTGCGCATCCGAACATCGGTTCCATTTCAACACTCTCAAGAACACGCTTGCCTTGGATTTTTATGGCTGCTTTAAGCTAATTAATTATGTTAGGTCTAAGGTATTCGTTTAACTCATCTTTATTGCTAAAAAAGATGTTATTTTTCAACTCTTTGATTAATTTATCACGTGCAATTCAATTGAAACTAATGTCCTTTTTCCCCCGAGTTTAAGAATGTTTATACAATCAGGTCATTTATTAGTTGGTAATCTGGTAAAAGTGGTAACTAACCTGCTCTTTACACCTTGTTTGGATGGTTGTTACATAATGTATCATATTGTACTTTATTGTTTTAATGAATGTGCCGTTTGGATAGATTGTATCATTTTCCATGAGCTAGTATAAAAGGTAGGGTAAAGGATAAAATAGGATTTAATGATAATGATATGATACAATATAATAAAATTTAAGTAATAGTCAAAACAAATATTGTATTTGAACTACGAACACGATACAATACAATAGGTAACAACCATCCAAACAAGCTGTTAGTGATTTGTGTGTTTTATTTCAATTCTTACTTTATATAAATTGAATCCTTTTTCCATATACATATATGTTGCTATTAGGTTGCTGCGAACAAATGCTGGAGTTGTGGCATTGTTTGTCGGTCAAAGGAAGATTTACTGAATCACTTGCACGAAGTTGCTAGTTTTGATAATGGCCAGTTTCCTTGGAATGATGATGAGTTTTTGAAGCCTTTCTTGAACGAGGATGCACTTTTGTATAGCTTTGATGAAGATGATGAAGGTGAAGATGATGTGGACAATATGCCTATTGACAAAGAGGAGTTAATTAAGGATCTTGAACAAATTAGCATCGATGAGGATGATTTTACTCTCGAAACAGAAGAAAACAAACCTACAGCCTCCAGTCTTAGTGGAGGGAAATCTGCTTCAATGACTGATACTACTCTCAGCAATGGCATTGTCTCTGCAGAAGCTGGTGTTTCTTCATATAGGAACAACAATGACCTAGATTCCAGCTTATATATCGCAAAAGTTGCAGCAAATAAGATCAAGGATGTAAATAAAAACTATTTTGGTGGTTATAGTTCGTATGGTATCCACAGGGACATGATAAGTGATAAGGTAAGTTCTACCCTGATCAGTGTTGTGCATACTTAATTAGTAAGGTAGAACAACTAGTTTCCCTTGATTAAACCTTTTCTATGCTTAATTATTAGGTGCTGCTTTGGCCCAACTTTTGATGTATTAGCAACTTTCTTGTTATGGTGGAAGATATAGTCAACCAAATTGTTTTCCCCATGTTAGGCTAAGGACTTTTTCAATCTCTATTTGTGGTATACTAGTTTACCTAAGCCAATATTTACTTGAATGAATTTTGCTTGTATTTCTTGTCAAACAAGAATCAACTGCTACCTATGTCAAGACAAAGTGAATATACTTCACCAAACTAAGGGAATAAGAATAATCTAGTTATTCTGCGGCTAACTTATCCTTGGAATTTTCTTATTTTGGATCAGGACTTAATTTTACTAGAACAGAAGAAGCACCAATAAAATGCAACTGTCATACATCAAAGCATTCTATACTCCAGACTCAACCATTGTATAAAGCCTAGCCCCTTGTCTTCATCAGGAAGTACATTGTATATTGCCTATCACCCTGAGTATCTATACCCCTATTTTAAACCACACTGCTTTCCAGTCTCTTCAATTGGCGCTAAAGCAATATTTTCTTCCACCAGCTTTTCAAATCTAATTAACATAAATTTCCTGCTGTTGCCTCCAAAACATTGTTGTGAAGCTGATGTAGGGTCTTCATTGAACTCACATTATTGCCAAAATCTATTTCTGCTTCTTTGTGCCTGGACATAATAATGTTTGCCTTCTTTTAAGAAAAAAGGGTACCACTGAATTATTTGGTAACAAGATTGTCAATATTGTGGCTTATGCAGGTAAGAACTGATGCTTATCGGCAAGCCATCCTGGAGAATCCTTCTCTCTTAAAAGGTGCTGTAGTCATGGATGTAGGTTGTGGTACTGGCATATTGAGGTTAGAAGAGTTTTGCTTATGTTTACTTTATCCCATTACATTTTTACCAGTGTAGCCACTAATTTGATGCAATATTCTGAAGATCTTTAAATCCTTTCTAGGCCTCTTTCATTTGTGAGTACTTGAATCCTTGGCTGAATTTCTTGTTCTACTTTTAGGGGATAAGTCATGGAGGAAGAAAAGACAAATATTAAAAACTATGAAAGGAGGTAGTTAGACTTGAAAGAACATAAAGTGGCGAGAAATAAGCTCTGAATCTATTTTTTTTTTATATTACATTACGCCAAGCTGAAGAAAGGAGAATTAAGTCTTATTGCCTTAACCAGAAGGTGAAATAGTCGTACGTGTATCTTTTTATTTCAATCTTTAGATGAGCCACTAGCAGGATTCAGGAAGAGCAGTTTGCAAACGGAGGAAGAAAACGTTTGAAAACCTCTTCAAGACTGATTTCAAATATTTTATTCCTTGGTTTGCACTAGTATGAGGAAGTATGTAGAGATTGACCCACCAAGTGATCTCTTAGCTCTCCTATTCTATCTGCACACCCGTATGTTTTTTGAGTGAGAAAACCATCCTTACAGCTTCAAGTAGTGTATGTATTTCAACATTACATAAAAAAACTAGTGTATGTTTAGTCCTTTAGTTTTTGCTAGGAGATATAACTTGTACAGGAGCTAACTCTTTTTTTTTGTAATCCTTGCATCTTCTGGATGCTTTTTGATGAAATTCTTCTACCTGATCAAAAAAGAAAATTGAAAATCAGTGGCTCAAGGAGGAAGGATTCATAGGAAATCATATTTCAATTTCAACTAACCATTCTTTCAGCCTGATGCTTTTCGATTGGCACTTGGACAGTGTTTGATTGGGTTTGATAAAAGGGCATTTGAAATTGAAGTTGAAAAAACAAAATTGGTTAGTTGAAGTTGTATTTGGACATGAGTTTCACTTGGAAATAAGTTGAAGTTTTGTGAGTGAAAACCATTACTTGCATTGAAATGTGTATTTGCAAATACTGATTGCCAAACTTCAACTTGCAAATACTGATTTTAGTATTTGCACGTGAGTTCATGAGCAAAGACCCCAGGTGATCAGATTTTTCGAAAGAATGCCTAACAGGTCACTGATACTGTCATCTTGGTTGTTTCTTTTGAAATCAACCAATTAGGAAGTAGATCTCAACTTGTAAATCTAAAGAGGAGTCGAACAATTAGAACTGATTCATGCTGTTTCTAGTCTCTTTGCAGCCCAAGCAGGTGCGTCAAGGGTGATTGCAGTTGAAGCAAGTGAAAAGATGGCAGCTGTGGCAGCTCAGGTCAACAATCTCTCATTATCAAATTGTCATGTTGCTTTTCCGAATTTAACTATTTTCTCTTCACTTGCAGCTCCAGTTTTATTAACTAAACTCCATTACTTTATGAACTTACTTTAATTACAGATCGCTAAAGACAATAACCTTTTGCGGATTGGAAGCAAGAATGAAGGTTCTGATCAAGGCAATGGTGTAATGGAAGTGGTTCAAGGAATGGTTGAAGAGCTAAAGAGTACCCAGAAAGTTCAGCCACACAGTGTTGATGTGTTAGTGAGTGAATGGATGGGTTATTGCCTGCTTTATGAGTCAATGCTCAGCTCTGTCCTGTATGCACGTGATCAATTTTTGAAGCCTGGAGGTGCCGTTCTTCCTGACACGGCAACTATGGTAACCCTCAACAAGCTTTTTTTGCATGTGTTTAACAAATCATGTGTTTGTATGTTGGAGCTAACTTCTGTGTCCACATTTCTTTTCTAGTTTGCTGCTGGGTTTGGAAGAGGTGGTACAAGCATTCCATTTTGGGAAAATGTTTATGGCTTTAATATGTCTTGTATCGGCGAGGAAATCGTTAAAGATGCTTCCAGAATTCCAATAGTTGATGTTATTGACAGTTGTGATATAATAACCAATTCAAAAGTTCTCCAGGTTTGTCTTTTTATCTGCATGGAGAAGCATGAAAATTGTGTGTAGTACTTTGACCTCTCAGGGTCCTTGTTTTAGTATCAGTTGTCTGCATTACAGTATATTGGCATTGTCAAACTTTTTAGGTTTTAAACGCGATATCACGATAGTCTTATATGTCAAGCCTGAGGTTTGTTTAATTTAATACTTTATTACCTAATGCTCATCTTTCCACTTGATTCTAGGATTCACTTATGATTATAACAAGCACAATTAAATTGTTCGAGTGAGAGCTTTTGAAGGCTATATGAATTTTATTTTGAATATTAAATAGTTATGTAGATGTAATTATTTGAGAAATAAGTGGTGTACGAGAGAATTGAGTGAACTGTGAAGACTACTGTTGCTTGGAATGATTGTGTCCCTAGATTTTCATTTTTCCCCACAAATCCCTTGGCTCATGAAAACATTCTTTTCTAGAGGACAACTCATTGAACAGATTAAAAGCTGAGAGAGATCTCTTTAAGGTTTTACAATATTTCGCTGACATCTAGTATACTTTATGAACAGAACTTTGATCTGGTGACTATGAAGCTGGAGGAGATGGATTTTACAGGAATGGTTGAACTGGAGCTGAAGGGAGAAACTTCTGCAAACGGGTCTACAGGTTCAAAACCTGTAACAAACTGGTGTTATGGAGTTGTCGTTTGGTTTGAGACTGGATTTACAGAAAGATTCTGTAAAGAAAAGCCAACTAACTTGTCCACATCTCCCCATACCACCAGCACTCACTGGTCGCAGACTATCCTCACTTTCGCAGAACCAATTGCAATGGTATCCCCAGGAACACTAAATGTTGATAAAACGGCAGCAGTTGGTACTGATGCCTGCCCCGCAGTGAAAATACAATGTCGGATCAGTGTAGTTCGTGCTGCTCAGCATCGAAGCATTGACATTTCCATGGAGCTATCAGGAATTGGGCCTTTTGGTAGAAAACGAAATTGGCCAGCACAAATGTTTAATGTATTGTAAGTTGATCCAAACCATTTGACTGCAAACTCAAGCTCCTACCATACATTTCTGCTTGCACCTGACAGGAGGACCTCGGGGCGAGTGAGTGGATTATTTTCGTCTCATTGTTGATGCATGATGAAGACGTGGATCATTCCAAGTTTCTTGGAGTAAGCACAAACCATAGAAATACCCGTCTTGCCCGCCTTTTATTTTGACACTGTTGGTTTTGAGCACTTTGGTGGGCTAGCAGTTGTAGAAGAGAGAATCAACATATTCAAACACATGAGAAATGATTTCTTTGTTGTGGTAATATTTTTTATATAAGTCTTATTCTATCCGCAGTTGTAGAAGAGAGAATCAACATATTCAAACACATGAGAAATGATTTCTTTGTTGTGGTAATATTTTTTATATAAGTCTTATTCTATCCTTATTTCTTCCTGGTAATTTTCCTCAAGAGTCTTTCAGTTGATGGTTAACCATTCACGAAATATGTCATTTGGTTACTTGTATTAGAGTAAAAAATTCTTTCGAGGTCAATTTTTGCATCAGTCGACTAGTATTTAGTTAACATTTGTGTATCCATATTAATACTACTTGCGTTTTTTTATGTGGTAATTGCTGTATTATTTTATGTTTAACTCAAATCTGTAATTTTGTTTTTTTGAGTTGACATTTGATTCTTTCCTGGGGTGCTATCACAAAACACCAGCCACTTGTGAATTGTGATTATAGATGAGGGAACAAATTAGGCAGCGATGAATATGGTATGAGCATTTTGCATGTTCAGCTACTTCCATACTCTGTAAAGTGAATCAATTCATTTATTCTTATAAAAGTTCTTCTCCAAGGAATTAATTATTTCGATTTCAAGTGTTTGGTTCTTCTCTTTTTTTCTTTCAAAATTAGCAGTGACCACATGTAATACATGTATTTGACATTAATCTTGAAAAGGCACAAAATATGCAAAGCCAATTATTATTTGTGTGAGATTTCTTTTATACTGATAATTTGTGAGACAAATCGAAGCCTAACACAACCAACATCGATCGTGAGTCACAAATTAATCAAGTATATTTTATGTACTTAAAAGTGAAATAAGGAATCACTTAGGTGGCTGATCAAAGAATATTAACAATTTGAGGTGTATCCAAATGACACAAACACTTGTGCATGCATAGAGCTAAAGAGCTTGCTTGTCATGTACTTCAACTTTTTCCCCTTTTTGATTAATCATTTTAATAATCCTCTTCTCTTCCATTTAATTAATTGCAGTAATATTAGCTAATCATGCAAGATTAACTTAATCGCATACAAATATAATATATAAAAATATGAGACAAAAAACAAGCTATATAAAAGCCTATATATACTTCTCTTCTTAAGGAATTTAATTACTTGCATGAGTTATATGCTATGGCTTTTCTCTTTTATTTTTCTCCTATTGTTATCTCCACATTCTTTCTTATGATCACTTCTTGCATAGCATCAAATGATCAAACTCCCAAGGTACGTAATTAATTTTCTCCTCTTTTTTTTTTAGAATTTGGCAAAACTAATTATATTAGAGAGTGAAAAAATCGAGTATTTGAACAAATTGTTAATTTCTTCATCCTATTGTAATCGTAGTTATATTGTATGCAGCCTTACATTGTATATATGGGTAGTCCTTTGAATAACAACGGAGACTCAGCTGAAATTTCAGAATTAACTCATCTACAAATGTTGTCATCCATTATCCCAAGGTTAATATATATATATACTATGCTTGCTTTTATACTCTTTTTCCTCTTCATTTGGTTAGACAATAAGCAATAAAAATTAAGAAACAAAACATATAGTAATTAGTACATTAGATTAATTAAATCTAGACATCCTACTAATTATAAGATCATGCAATAGCTAGCAACTTGTATAATTTGATGATCAATAACAAAGTCAGGATTTTCGTTAAGGAAGATCAGCTAAAGGGATGTAATATCTACTATACATAAAACACACACGTGAAAGAATGTATTATTCATGAACATAACAAACTAAAATAATATTGTTTTAACTTTTGGGACAGTGAAGAAAGTGAGAGAATCTCAGTGAAGCATTCATTTCATCATGCCTATAGGGGCTTTTGTGCCTTGCTTACTAAACAAGAAGCCACCCTTTTGTCTGGTAATATTCTTTTCTTTTTCCTTTTTAATTGCATATAATAATGTAAAAAATATTTAAAGAGAATAGTTCAAAATTTATTCCACAATTTCCTCTATAATTTTTAAGTTTTTTTATATTACTAGCCCATTTAGCCAAGTTTTGAGCTACTGGAATGGAAAAAAAAAAATCTATTGGGAGCGACTGTAATGACTAATAACTCGATTTAATTGGAAAATGAAGCAGGTTATGAAGAGGTTGTATCAGTATTTCCAGATCCTATACTTGAACTTCATACAACACGTTCCTGGGATTTTTTGGGATCTTATTATTCTACCAACTACAATTACCATGCTTCTTCTAATTATGACGTTATTATTGGAGTTATTGACACAGGTTACGTTATTTTTATCAAATATAATTATTTTTTAAAACTTTTGGGTTCACAAAAAAATTACTTTTTCCATTAATCAAATTGTTGCATATATTTATTTTTAGGCATATGGCCAGAGTCACCTAGTTTTGATGACCAACATATTGGAGAAGTACCATCAAGATGGAAAGGAGTTTGCATGGAAGGATTTGACTTTCACAAGTCAAACTGCAATAGGTCATCACTTTATTTCACTATCAACAAATAGCTCGTTATCGATAAAGCAAATTTCGATAAATTATATTCAGATAGTGAACTATCTCAATATATGGATATGTGATACTCGCGAAATTTTGTTAATCTCCCTCCTGAGTCGCACAATTTCTCCAAATTCCCTATAAAAATTCTACCTAATTAACATTCTTCAAATTAAATCTATCGTAGGAAGTTGATTGGAGCAAGATTTTACGATATTGAAGATCAAGATTCCAACATCACAAAATTACCTAAAAACACTACAAAACCAAATGGAACACCAAGGGACAGAGTAGGGCATGGAACAAACACAGCCTCAATTGCAGCAGGTGCATTTGTCCCTAATGCCACTTACTATGGCCTAGCAAGTGGCATTGCTAGGGGAGGCTCACCCTCTTCTAGGATAGCAACTTACAAAGCATGCTCAGAGGGATATTGTCAAGGTTTGTATTTATTTTTTTAATAATCATGATGTCTGGGTCAACTTGCACGCATTTGAACCAATGTTTGGATAGACGTGAAGAAATCACCTAATAAAATTAAACTGGAGACATGAGGATTGTCAGTTCACTTTATTGACCACTAGATCACACTGTTGTGATGCAGGTTCTGCGATACTTAAAGCGATTGATGATGCAATTAAAGATGGAGTTGACATAATTTCAATATCTATTGGAAGAAGTTTTGTTTTTCAAACTGATTTTAAGGATGATCCAATTGCAATTGGGGCTTTTCATGCTGCTGAAAGAGGTATTGGTGTTGTCTGTTCTGGTGGGAATGAAGGGCCTGATCCTTACACTGTTACCAACTCTGCTCCTTGGATTTTCACTGTTGCTGCTTCTACTATTGATAGAAAATTTCAGTCCATTGTTGCCCTGGGAAACAATGTCACTTTGAAGGTAAACAGAGCATTAGATTAATTCGACTTCGCGATACACAAAGCTCAATAAAGTGTCTACATGGAGTTTATTTAGTTTCACAATGAGGGTGAGTAGATGTGGATTTAGAATTTAAAGTTTATCCTAACGTACTTTTATTATTCAATTTCAATAGGGAACAGGAATAAGTTTCTATACTAGTGGTCACGCCAAAACTTATCCCCTTGCATTTGGTGAAAATGTTCATTTCCACCCCTCGTTAACTTCTCAAGCCAGGTATTTTTCTTATTTTCAAAATTTATCTCTGACCCTTTGTTATCGCGGAATGTTTTGTGCATCGGACTGTAAAATTGCATATGCAAGTGCAGGTATTGTATGCCAGGGTCACTTGATGCTAAAAAAGTTGCTGGGAAAATAATTGTTTGTATGAATGATGGCTGGTCAGTATCAAGATTAATCAAGAAATTAGTAGTGCAAGATGCCAATGCAAAAGGTTTAATTTTAATTGATGAGCAAGAGAAAAGTTCCCCATTTGATTCAGGCAGTTTCCCATTTGCTGAATTTGGAAAAATAGCTGGGGCAAAAATTCTTCAATATATTAATTCCTCCCAGTAAGACTCATCTATCATTTTTACAAATTACGTAAAACAAAAAAATTTACTCGCACTCAATATTTACACTAAATCACAGAAATCCACATGCGACTATATTTCCGGCTAATGAGATCCGAAGATTTAAGCCAGCTCCAGTAGTCGCAGATTTTTCTTCACGTGGACCTGCCACACTTACCGAGAATATTCTTAAGGTTCTAATTAATTAGTTATATCGTCATCTATGTATATAAGTTAAACTTGATTGATAAATTATGCGTTACAACTTGACTATGAGTTTAAAATATGATTTTGGATGTATGTGCAGCCTGATATAACAGCTCCTGGTGTTGGCATTTTATCAGCTATGATTCCAAATACTGAAAAAGGATCATCTTTGTTTGGTATTACATCAGGAACATCAATGGCATGTCCACATGTAAGTGGAGCTATGGCCTTCATTAAATCAATTCACCCAACATGGACCTTCTCAATGATCAAATCTGCTATAATGACAACAGGTATTACATATTAAATCAAGTTACGGCTTGTTGAAAATTCGTCGAAATTTAATTCCTAACGTATAACATTATCAAAGGTTTTTCGATCGATTCTTTTTTTCTTATTGATGCAAAATGTAGTCTGACTAGTGATGAAATCAGAAATTTCATCAAAATTTAATATATACATAAGAAAAATAAATGATATAATTTTTTGACCAAAGGTGTTCAACTAATCCTTTCCGTAGTAACTGAATTTTCATTTTCTTTTTTTTTTTCTCTGCAGCAACAATATCTAATAATCTGAGAAAGCCCTTGACAAATACATCAAATCTTGATGCAAGTCCACATGAAATTGGTGCTGGTGAATTAAACCCTATTAAAGCTCTAAATCCAGCCTTAATATTTGAAACAACCATGATTGATTACTATAACTTCCTTTGTTATTATGGATACAAAGAAAAAGAACTTAGATTAATAGTATCAAAGAAAAATAATTTTTATTGTCCAAGAAATAGTACTAGTACTACCAAAAAGGAACTCATATCACACATGAATTACCCTTCAATCTCTATAAAAAAACTTGATCAAGGGGTCTCCAAAGTCAAACGAGTTGCAATGAATGTTGGTTCTCCAAATGCCACGTATACTTCCTCGATTATTGGTCCACCCGGTTTGATTGTTAGGGTTCTTCCAAGAAAGATTGAATTTGTGAAAGAAATAAAGAAAGTTTCGTTTGAAATATCGTTTGACGGTAAAAAAGCATCAAAAGGTTATAATTTTGGATTTATAATATGGTCAGATGGCTTTCATAAGGTTAAGATGGTATTTGCAGTGAATGTTGAGTAGTTTATAAAAAAAAATTATTTTGTAGAGGGATGATATATTATTGTAACTTGTAAAACTATTTTCCGATTTATAAATTGGAATACAACAATTTTAATTTGATGAGAGTTCTTGTAAACTCTTGATATTTTCTAGCGTTTGCATATTCATGAAACAATGAATCGTTAGGGTAATGCTTCATCACTAAATTACTTGTAGCTAACAATTTTTTTTTTTGATAATTCGCTGTTAAATATATGATTTGTGACAAAATTTGATGCTTAGCTATCAAGTTTATCCATAGCGCAAATATGCCATCAAACTTTTAGAAAAGACTCATATATGTCATCCGTTAAAAGTGTGGCTCATCTATGCCATTGTTGTTAAGAAAAGGCTCATCCATGCTATTTTTTTAACTCCGGTTTTGCAAAACCATTTTTTTACGCCCCAAACAAGGTTTAACACTTTTCAATTAGAGTTTTTGGATCAAATGTACACTTTTTGCTTCTTTTTCTTTAGAAACACCAAGTACACATGAAGAACATAAATAACTTCCAAATTTTCAATATCTTCACGAAATTATCTCAAATTTCGGCAATAACATTAATTTCTTCTTTTAAAAAAATAAATAAAAAATCTAAAATCATTTGTAGAATTTAAAAATTCACCCGTGTTAAAAAAAAATTCCAAAAAATGAAAATCAGTCCCAAAATTTTAAAATTTTGCTTTGATTAGTGTTTTTGTAGTTGTTTTTTACGTTAGATCTTTGTTGCCTAGTGTTTTTTGAGTTTATGTTCAAAATTTCAAATGATTTGAAATTGTGGAGAAAATTTTACCATTAATGAATGTTGAAGTTTTGAAACTTTGAAGAAATTTCAAGTGGTCTTGTTGAGTTAAGTTGAATTCGAGCTCAAAAGATATTGAGTTTTGGTATCTAGCTCGAAGGAAAACTACTCTTGAAATTTGAGGCGATTTCATGAAGATTTGAACAAGTTTGAAATTTAGGAATTGTTAATGTTCTTTATGTGTTCTTGTTGTTCTTAAAGAAGTAGAAGCAAAAAAATGTACATTTAATCCAAAAACACCAATTAAAAAGTAATAAATCTTGTTTGGGGTGTAAACAATGATTTTGTAAAATTGGAGTTAAAAAAATAGCATGAATGAGCCTTTTCTAAAAGTTTAATGGCATATTTGAGTTTTTTTTTTTAAAAAAAGTAGTGGTAGAACTTTGTTTCCAAAACTCATTGCTTGAAATAGTTTAATAGTCTATTTTATAAGTTTTTCGAAAGTCAAAAGTATTTCTCCTTCCGTCCACTTTTAATTGTCATGTTGCGTTTTTCAAAAGTCAATTTGACTAATTTTCAAAGTTAAATTAGATTACATTAATTTGATATTTTAAACAAAAAAAATTAGCTATTCAAAAACTATATGAAAAGTATTATAAATTACAATTTTTTAGCATATCAATAAGATAAAAAAATACATCGTAAAATGTTAATCAAAGTTCTTATTATTTGACTATAAAAAAGGAAACCATGACAATTAAAAATGAACAAATTTTTTTTCTTTAAAAAAAAGTGCTTATTCTCTAAATTTGAGGTGTTTGGCCTAATTTTAAAAAACAAAATAGGTGTTTTTAAGTTGTAATACATTTTTTCACAAAAGTGAATTGTTGCATTTGTTAAGATATAGGAAGAGGAGATGTATTTGTTTAAACATTCGTTAATTAGAAAATTTAATTGAATTGTTTGAAAGAGGTATATAATATCATATTAGGATTTCACCTACAATCGACTCTTTTTCTCGAATTTTACTCTTAGTAACTCTTATGCTCAAAGTAAGATGTTGTCTAAATCAGACCACGAACTACAAACGTCTGAAAAAGTTCTATTGTTACGTTATTTCACGAGGCAATCCACAATCAATGTAAATGTGAAGGACCCACGATAACGGCATAACGTCCTGAATAATCGACTCGTTTACCAAACATAGTCTCATGAAATCTTCCCTCTTTGCTAATATAAAACTCTTAATCATAAGATTGAAGCAAAAAAAAAAAATGAAAATAAAGTAATAATCGATGAACAGTATAATGGAAGAGAGAATTTTCTTTTGTCCATTGAGAATGTCTTTTAGTATTCACGTGAAATAGAATGGAATATATTAATTGACTCTCCTATCCTACTTACGTTTCAACCGTTACTTGAGCGAAAAGTCGTGAATATTTAATGACACTAAATATGATTTTCCTAATTTTAAAGTTTTGATATTATCTGCCCAACCAAATTAGTTGTGTCAGTAAATATTATTTCATTAAGCATCGCTGATATGTATCTTTGAAAGGTCTAATTGTTTGTTGGTCAGGTCTGTCAAAATAACTCAGAACCTCTATGAATCATTTAGTGGAATTATATATATATATTGTCAAAGGCATTCAACAATTTTTTATATGCAAAATAAATTATTTTACCCTATTTTCATAATATAATATTTTAATTTAGTTGGACTCCTTTGCATCCCTCAGCCTTCGCACCTGTGGGGTGGGGTGGAGGGGAATAATTTTCATCAAAGTATCAAATGTTAGTTCATTTTTGTTTTACAATATTTATCTAAATAATAATGATGTGTACGCGGATCTCGACTATAAAAAACATAAATTTTTATATATAATTCATTTCTTATTTTGTTGTTTTTGCAAATTGAAGTTCATTTGTTCTATCTCAATCAATTGAAGAGTTATTAAATTGCATGTGCATTAAATACTCAAAGAAACCGAATAATATGATCTCATTCTTGCAATACTTTTTTGTGATATTTAATACAAAACTTAAGCACAAAAATCAATTTCGACATTAACAACGCAATAAAGTTATAAAACAAACAAAATATTTTTCTTCGTTAATTGATATACAATGTTATTTTAATCAGAAAACAAAAATAATAATTTATATTATTATAGGAGTAATAGTTTAAAAATAAAGAACTAAGTTCAAGACGATTGTATGCATATTAGAGATTTGATAACATTTGTAAGTCTTAATAATTAACAAAAAAATAGCCTAATATGAAGGTCTAAAACCTTTGCCCTCAAAATTTTAAAGCTAAATATAGAAAAAATATGTATTTTATTTTTAAAAAATAGATTAATTTCGATAAATACACTATGCTTCCTTAAAAATTTCAAATAGAATAGAAAAATCAAGACAAAAACCTAATACTTTCCTCCTTCCCATGTAATACGCTCCTTATAATTTAGTATTAATATTACTATTAATTAAATTTTACTATTGTTTACCGTTTTTACCAATGCCACACTGAGTCAAAAAAATTATATTGAATAAAAGAAAAAGAGATTTGATATTTTCTATATTCTTTGTTAAAATATCCCAACCCAATATATCATATTTTGTGGACACCCTTTCTTGGTTAACAAAACCCTGCACGTGCTTCAATAAACCACACGTGTAAAACATTTATTTATGTTAATAAAAAATTATATTATATAGTAATAAATAAATTAAATTAGTTACTTGGGCTAAAGAGTAACTAAAAATAAAGAATTTGTTTTTACTAATAATAAATGCAAAGCAGTAAGTATAACCTACTTTACTTCTTCCTTTTCTTCTTCCTTGTGCGAAACTCAGATCACAAAGGGGGCTGAAGGTTTTCGATTTTCTCTGATAAATTTTACTTTTTTATGAATTTATATCTATATGCGGTTGCGCGCAGATGGTTTTTTTTTTTTTTTTTTTTTTGTGAATTTTGGTTAGTGAATGCTGTGTGTGTTTTGTGTAGGAAATTTGTGGAAGGAGATCTGATGTACTTGCTTGTGGATCTTAATTATTCAGGAGATCATGATCGCCGTAGAGCATAAAGGTATGATTTTTTTGATTTTGTTTGATATGGTTGTTTGTTCTGTTATATGTTTTATGTGTGGAATTTGTGGCGGTGGGATCTTGATTTTTGTAGAAATTGTGGGGTTGAATTGAAGTAGAGGAATTGTGGGTTGATGTGTAATTTTTTTGAATGGAATGGTAAAGGGTTTGATTGTTCACTGTGGTTTTTGGTTGTGAATGGATGTGAAAGAGTGAGCTTTTGATCAGCTAGTGCTATTGATGTTCTCTTAGTAGCTCAGTTGGTTAGCTAACCAGCTACCTGAATTTTCTGAATTTTCCCATAGTTGGTGAGGGTCGTAAATTGTAATCCCCTCCCCATTGTTATTATTATTATTTTTTTAAAAGGGGAAGACTAGGAAGACCTTAAGATTGAATAATTGGTAAGAAGTTTTTGTTCATAATGGTAGTGTCTGAGCAATGTTCCACGCATCTCGACTATTCCGCTAGGTACCCGTTACCTCCCACCACTATTCCACCGGTACTTGCTAAGTAGGACCACTGAATAAGCTCTAGATCTCTTGGAAAATTATGATCTTATAAACCTGTCTCCCGAGAGACTTCTTGATGCCATGCAGGCTTCTCTTTTGGGCTAGTTGATAGTGATTGATGATTTACATGTGTTATGTTACGTATGAGGAATAAAACTCGTGTTCAGTTCTGCAATTATAACACTTGATGTTCACTCCTTCAACTCCATGTCCATGACTATTTGAGTACTACTACCTACCCTCAGAGTAAAGTCAGTGTTGCCGGTATTAGATTCTGATTTAAATATGTGGCAGTCAAACTAAGCTTGAGACTTGAATAATCACAAATATTACAATATCCCCTTTTAGTTTTTAAATTACAGGACTGATTGTCTTTTTTCGCCTTATGTTCTGTGTGAAGCAAAGCTTTGTTTTTTGTGGAAATGCATTTTTGAGAGGTCAATCTGGGCAGTAAAACTATAGCAGAAGGAAAGTATCTCTAGATTACTACTGCATTTAGGGGTCGTTTGGTAGAGTGTATTAGCAAAAATAATGTATGCATTAATTATATGTATTAGTAATCCCTTGTTTGGTGCATTTTTTCATGCTATGTATAACTAATGTTGCATTAGTTATACACTCTATTGTGTATTGAGGAGTG